AGTTTCACAATTTTATCAAGCTTAGCCATAAAAATGTTGGCACAGGAAGGGGCTGGATGTATTCCCATTGCTGTTCCTATCAACTGTTTGTACAGTTTACCACCAAATTCAAACATGTTATTTTTCAAACAAATGTTTAGCAGCTCATTAAAAAATGACGTTATAGGGATAGATTTATCAGTTCTGCTTTCAAGAGCTTCTCTGCAGAATTCTAGACCATCATCCTGAGGTATATTTGTGTACAATCCTGTAACATCTACAGAGAATAGAATAGAGTTGGCTGGTAAATCATCTTTGTTAATTTCTTCAATACATCTCAAAAAATCTGGAGTATCCTGAAGATAAGATAGGTGAAAGGGGTTTCAGAAAATTGTCCACAAATAAACTTATATTATCTGTGGGAAGCTTCCTGAGCCGCTGATAATAGGCCTACTGGTGAAGTATCTCCTGGAATGTAAGTTAAACATACAATTGGGAAGTTGCCATTGGGATATTGCACGTTTGGGAAGTTGCCCTTTGGGAAATTGGCACTTGTGAAGTAGCCCTTTGGAAAATACCTAACACCGGGATTATGGTGGATCTTGTCATAAATTTTAAAAGCGCTTTCTACAAAAAAAAATTAGTCATAGATTACTAAGTTCAGATAGAATTTCTAACATTGTATTATGGGAGGGGTGGGGGTGGGGGGGGAGGGTATTAGAGCAGTGTACTTGAAGAAAGATTAATAAGATTGCCAAATAGAGATTAGTTTATGAAATGTATTGTTAGGTTTGCCAATTTTAAACCTGTAGCTGATACTTACAATTCAAACTTAACAGAGCTGAAAACTTTAGAATGGTGGATATCGAGATCAATGCGTGATCTTCTCTTTTTCTTAATATCAAGACTAACTGAAAAGTGTATAAAATTCAACCAATCAGAGTCGCGTATAAGAAGCCGGAAAATTTGAAATTTTGTGCGCCATTTAAGATTATATACAGAAACAGGAGGGACTCTCTAATTTTGAAAACCGGTTTTGATTTTTTTTTGTGCTATATCCAAAAAGGTGTGGATTAAGCAGGAAATTAAAAGTGTCCACATTGGATATTCGGATTACGCAGTCGGGATTGAAGGTATCCCGTTCTAAAGTTCCCAGCTATGAAACAGAAATAGGATTAAAGAATATACCCACTCACCATATTCGGATTAAAATATGTCTCAATTAGTTCAAAGCAAATGGCGAACAAGTTTTTAGTTGTCCGAATATTTTTTTAGGGAACCCATACATACTCTGAGTGTAACATTCGTACGTTAAACAAATGCATTTTTTTTTCAAAATTCGAATTCCCCCCCCTTTTATTCCACCCGGCACTTTAGTTAGATAGTTGTGGGATGTTGTATGATACCGCAGTTTTGATAAATAATGGTTGTTTAAAGATCCTTATATCCTAGTATACGGTATTGGGTTACCCAAATCATGTAGTTTAGATCAGACTGTGGTTCAGTTAATGGGGGCATATAGGTCATAGAACAAGCAAAAGGTTTCAGGACACATCTAACCAAATCATAGAGCAGGCAAATATAGTTAGGTTTCAGGACGCATCTGACCAAATCATAGAACAGGCAAATGTAGGGGGCAGAGAGGTTTCTAACTTGTTAATTTAGAAGACAAAAGTGGGGATTAGATTAGGCACAGATCAGGCAAAATAAGGTTGATGATGCAACTAACAAAATCATAGTTAAGGCAAAAAGGAACATTAAATGGTGAAATAAGCAAGGTTATTGAGAGCACGCAACAATTTTGATGACACATCGAATATATGTTGTAGAACAGAAGAATAGAGAAGATTTTAAAGATGACACGTTTTAAATGAGGAGTAATTTTCAAGTACGCTGACAATCCCTTACATTAGTGTATGTGCATTGTATCCCTTTCTTGAATTTTGTTTTCAATATATAATTGTCAGGTTTAAAGGGAGTGACCGGCAATGTATGGTAGTTGAACTGATAATGTAGTATTGTGGAGAATTTTTCTAGGGATCATTTGAGACCTATGAGAATCGGTTTTTAAATAATATTCAATAACGACGACGAAAAATGTAGTAAAATTCCACAGTAAACTAATTAGTTGTTTAGGAACAGGCTGAGAAAATAAAAATTAACTATAATCATCGAAAATAATCTTATTCAGTCATTGGTTTCTGTAATGCATCATTGTTCACAAACATTTTTTGTAGATTTTCTGGAATTTTTATTGAAAAGACGACATTTGAAGAAATCACCAAACAAATTCATAAAGAATAAGAAATTCAGTAAAATGATGAAAAAGAAATAATTGATCCTACATTGCTTTATTGAGAAAATTTAGATTGAGAAATATGTTTCTAAACATCTAACTAGTTTACAGTCGAATTTTTTTTACATTTTTTGTCGGCGTAATTTATTAATTTTTAAAAAATCGATTCTCGAAACGTAACCATCCAAATGGATGATTTTAAAAGTCGACTTTTCGCCCAAACAAACATATACATCATTAAAATGTTTTACATATCTCAAAAGAATCCTAAAAGTATTCTCCACGGTAAACAAAACAAGATTGGGTTCACACGCTTTGCTAATGGTGGATTTCAAAGTCTATTACAGTCAACGAGACGTCGAGAATACATTGCTACTTTTGCTGAATCAATATGTATTTTTAAGTTTAATGAATGCATTCATGAAAATGTTTAAATTATTTGAGTGCTGACTAAGTATCTACTTGTAAATGCACAATAAATGTATATTCAGTTGAGATTATTATATGAATAGTTTGTTTCAACAAATACTGATCAGAACAAAATTATTAAACATTATAATTTCGATTGGCTCATATTAAATTTTCTTCTTTGATTTGTTTTTAGCTGAACCATCATACATTATTATTTTGTATTTTGTGTTTGAAAATAAATTTTATAATATATATTCTCTGTTCAATTACCATTGCCGGTCACTCCCTTTAATAATGAATAATATCAAATTCCGAGCATCCTTGGAATTTTACACATTTCCTGCTTCCTTAGTTCCTGCCATCGATTAGATTTTACAGTCAAAATGTGAAACAGACATTTCTCATTTTTAACAAGACCTTCATAGCGGTTTTTTGTGTATAGAGTTTACACTGTACAACATGCGTTACTGTATGTACACCTTTCTTTAGCTCTGTAAATGATATTGTTGTTTTGTGATTAAAGACTAAAGGAACTCAGTTTTTCCACAAACTCAAATATTCTAATCCCTATATGTTACATAAAAACACAGCATTTGTAAAATATCCACACGGACACAGGCACTGATTTATTTTTCAAATTTCTTGTAAAACTATTTGCGTTTAAAAACATTTAATACACATATATTGCTCAAATATTGTCTTTCTATTCCACAGTTTTATGTGCCCCACTGTACAAAGATCTATTGTGGTCTATGTTGGTTTGACACAAACTCATTTCCACCTTAGAGAACTAGAGAACTGAAGCATCTTTTAATCATCAATCAGGCAGTATAGAACCAGGCACATTCCAGGCCATTCAGGCAGCAGGGTGGGTGGTCTGAATTTATGCCATATCTAACTCCCTCTTCTTCCTTTCTTCCTTTCTTCCTTCATTCCTTCCTTCCTTCCTTCCTTCCTTTCTTACTTTTTTTCTTTCTTTCTTTCTTTCTTTCTTCCTTCCTTCCTTCCTTTCTTCCTTCCATCCTTTCTCCCTGCTCCAAGGTGAACAAGAAAAGATGACACTTTGATAAAAATTCTCATATAAAAGTTAAATTTTATTTCACGCATCACATAGTTTGTAGATAAGTTTTATGTGAACAACTTTTTGAAGCTAATTATAATTGGTTCAGCTTTTTCTAAAGTCTCATTATTGATGAGGCACCCTGTATCTGTTTATATATATATGTGTATCACTGTATGGTGTAGAGGGGTGTTTTACACTGTATATAATGATCCTATAGGAATGGCGTGATCACGTCTCTTGAACTGAGATATCAACTGAGACCTTGGAACCCTAATAAACCTTGGAACCCTAATAAACCTTGGAACCCTAATAAACCTCGTATTTTGTCTGCTGACATTTTTGACAGATTACAAAATGTCATTTTATGCGATATTATAGAAATTATGCAAATTTTGTAATTTTGTAAAAAGAATAGGCGCAAAATTACAGATTGTAATGATTTTATTTCTCCTATAAAATCTTAATGATTTATATTGAGTTAATTGTAAGCTGCAAATTTCACATTTCACATTAAAAAATTAAACCCTGCGAAAATTGCAAACAAATACATCAAAAGAATGAAACCCTGGATCATAAATGATAGAAAATGTCGTTAATATTTGTTAAATCACAATTTTTTTTTTTCAGTAATAGCAGAGCAGAGAACCATTCAACCCTAGTTAATCGTTTTACAGCTAGATATAAGTCAATTATATATATATATATATACACTTCTCTGATCTTTTAATGATTCTCTTGCTTTCATTGTTTCTCTTTGTGAAGTCGTCAAATAAAAGGAGTAATAAAAAAACTAGGATGTGATGAAAGTTCAAATAAAATGAATTTTTTTCTTTTTAGGCTTCAATATTTCCATTCTTTAATAACAGTTTGCTTTTTAAAAAATTTTTCTTTTTATTATCTAATTAGACATATAAAATTTATATTTCTAACTTTTTATTTTAAACAATATGCGTGCAACGACTTTTTTCCCTTGGGTATTAAAAATAAAAGGTTTTTCTGACTCCCTTCAGTTTAACTTTATTTATGACCAACTTCATGGTTCAATAATCTTTCCATAAAATCGCGAACAACAAATTAACAAAAATTTTATTTATAATAATAAATATATCACAATTCATTGGTAACTATTCATGGCACAGGGTTTAGCTGGAAAGTCTAATTTATAAAAAAAGTCTTTTTCTATTCTAACATTTTTAATTCTTTACAAACTATAAAAAAAGGAAAATTCCTCCGATAAAAATTTAAAATCCCTCCAGCAAGCACTCCTAAAAAAAATATTTTGAAATCTAAATCGCTACAAAAAAAAAATATTTATAAGATTTTTCGAGTCTCTTCAGCAGCAAAATGAATCCCTGGAACAAATGATGAGTTTTCTTCCAAAACCAATGATTTGAAAAAATATATTTTAGACACATCAAATCCCTCTAACAAACTATGATTTAAAAAAATATTTTTCAATATTTCTCCACAAACAATGACTGAATCCCTCCAACAAATAACATGATTGTTTCCTCCGAAACGAGGATTTTTATAAATCCCTCCAACTTGATTAGGATCCCTCCGATAATGATTGTTGAGAGAGGGTTGGATATCCAGCCGTTAGAAGAACCTTGTTGAAATCATATCCAAACATAAGATAGTCTAGTCTGTAGGCTCTGAAAATAAAGATTAAGTTGTTAAAAGAACTGTGAACGTAATTTCAAGAGAGTTAGGTATTTTCCCAAAGACCTTTTCTCAATGGCGACCTCCCAAGTGACAATTTCCCAAGCGGCAACTTCCCAAAGGTTAGGTTAGGCCTGCTGCATTGAGGAAAGACTTGGGAAGTTTACGTTTGGTTTGAAGAATGACCCGATTCACAACAGTATCCTTATATTCTTAATCTCAGCAACAATAAGTGTTGATTTCGATAAAAGAACTTCTTTGTCTCTGTTGCAGGAAATCCGCAATTAGAAATGATCAAACTTGAGAAATAAAAATGAAGACGTCCTGTCCCTTTTAAATGGAATGTCAGTTTACGTCGACATTTGTAATATTGAGTTTCGTTTATTACGATAGTGTTCATTTCATATTTGTTGGACTGCCTCTCAACAATATGCCTCTCAAGTTTAGAGAATATATTTTAGCATCCTTTCATCTAAGTGTAATTAAAACGGCGGCTTGATTATCGGAACAAAAACATGTTATATTTGTAGCACAGTGCGCGCATGTATGGTATGATGCAGTGTGCGCACATTGTATGGTGATCTTAACAATTAGTTACGAGACGATGTGCGCCAAGTCGTTCAACGTATATTTAAACCCATAGATAGATAGATAGATAGATAGATAGATAGATAGATAGATAGATAGATAGATAGATAGATAGATAGATAGATTGATAGATAGATAGATAGATATATATATAGATAGATAGATAGATATAGCTCACCTATAAACCTTTACTAGTAAGTCCCTTGGCACCCCAGAGTATAGTTCCTAAAAGAAACTTTAAAAATAAATGATTTTTTCAGAACGCTTGTCTGAAATCTAATCTAAAGGTTTATTTCAGTACTATAGCTTGGGAACCTAGCTTTGCCTGAAGTTTTCCCGCTAAAAGTTGCTAAACTCAAATTAGAATCTTTAAAACAGACTAAGAACATTCCCTGTCATTGGTTCTAATACGTTTTTAAGTTTTTAAGCCTAAAAACAAAATGCATTCTACAACATTTCCCTTTTACTATCATCTCATTTTACTATGTTAATAACAACTTATTATCTTAATGAATAATGGTTAACATATCGATAGAAATGTGGAGTTAACAAAAAAAAACTTTTTATTTTTTTTTTATTTTTGTTTAGAAGAAATGTTCTTTTTACCTTAAGATATGTTTTATTACGGGATCCACGTTTATGTTCCCAGGGAATAGGAACTTCACTGACCACAAGACAAAACAGGAATAAAAATATTGAATACCATTAAAAAAATATTGGCAAAATTATTACTTTTTCGTGAACAAGAGGGGACCTCCCCTTTATTCTTTACTGCGTGATTTCAACAAGTTCACATCCAGAAATGTTTTTATTTTCACTCTAGAACGAGACTGTAGGCTTAACTTTGAAGAACCCTCCATGCAAAGATGGCAATGACTGATTCACAACGGTACCCTTAAAAGTTTTGTCTGATCAATAATGAATTATACAGATAGCCATGTTAGTTTGTTTTTGAACTGAGTTTTTCCTTTGTGATTTTATTGAAAAAGGGACTTGTGCATTTTATGGGAAACAATGGAGAAAATATCAGAATTATATACTTTTCGTGTCAGAAAATTAACGTTATCTATCTCATTTTTTATCAGATTAAGGTTTCAAGGGTACCGTTGTGAATTGAGCATTGTCATCATTGCACGTAAGATCACTTGAAATTACGCATCTATGCACGAGTTAATATTTGGAGATACCCCTTGTTTTATTATTTCCTGTTTCTGACAGGGAGGGAGGGAGGAGGGAGGGGCCGGGTTAGGGGAGGGTAGGAGGGAGGGAGGAGGGGGGAAGAGGGAGAGAGAGGGGGTCAATCAATTTTATTCCAGGTAGACAGAAACTTAAATACAGCTTTTTAAATCAGGCCCTGAGCTTGGTTTCTAGTATTGTGGATTTGAGATCAATGCCTGATCTCAATATTTTGCAGGTTGATTTATTCCTTCCGGTATCCAGGATACTTGATCTTGATATCCCGGATACAAATTGTACTCTTAGGGGGAAATCGAAATGAAGAGATTAATCCTGAAATCAAAAATACCCAAATGGGATATCAAGATCAAGTATCCTGGATATCAAGATCAAGTATCCGGGATATCAAGATCAAGTATCCGGGATAATGGGTATCCATCACAAACAGTTCCAGCTCTTACCAATAGACTTATCAAATGTGTCGTTTTCTGACTTCAGTTTGGAAACAAATAATACTAATTACGAAATTAACTTTTTCAAGTTATATTTTCTCAAATACTGATCATTTATCTACAGATTCCGTAAACTGTTAACGGTATCAAATAGAAAAGTAGAAATCCTAACAGAATTAGAAATATAATTTTCTTATATTAAATATTATTACTTTTAATGAATGGGCGTGGAGGAGGGGGGGGTTAAAGAGGA